CACCTCCTCCTCCTCGGAGGCCCGCGCGGATTTCTTGGTTCGGCGCTGGAGGCATCGCCAGGGGTGCCCCAGCGCGGAGCCGAGAGATCCGCGCAGCTCTCCTGGGCCCAGGCTCGGCGGGAGCCACAACAACAGGAAGCGCCAGCACAGGCGTAGGGTCGCGAGACCATTTGCACAGCGTGCTGCGGCGGCGGCCCCGGCGACACGCTCTGCCCTGCGAGCGGCGAGCGGGTCGCTCCGCTCCGAGGGGCGGGAGGCTGGGACGGGCTCGCGACGGTGACGCTCGGGAGCTCGCCGTGGTCAGCGCGGACGCGCCGAGGCGTGGTGGGCCAGAGCCGGCGGAGCGACAGGCTGAGCCACAGTTTTCGGGCCTGTCCCCCATACGGGGGGATTCTGGACGGAAAACGAAACATAGCCCCCCCCCCAAAAAAACTCAAGGATGGTCAAGAAATCGTCCCCTGACCATTTTTTGGCTATTTTTGAACACAAAAACAAAAAATAATCAAAAAACAAAAAACAAAAAAAACAAAAAAAAATGTCAAGAAATCGTCCCCTGACCATTTTGTGGCTATTTTTGAATACTCCTCCTGTAGAGGGACAGGCCCGACTTCACCACAGACTGGACGGAAAACAAAAAATAGTCAAACAAAAAAAAAAAAACTGGTCCAGAACTCGTCCCCTGACCATTTTGTGGCTATTTTTGAACACAAAAACAAAAAATAATCCAAAAAAAAACTCAAAAATGGTCCAGAAATCGTCCCCTGACAATTTGTTTTGACTATTTTTGAATGCTCCTCCTGTGGAGGGACAGGCCCGACTTCACCACAGACCCGCGGAGGCCCGCGCAGATCTCTCGGCTCGGCGCTGTGGAGGCGCCGAGAAAAGGGGTTGCCCCACGGCCGAGCCCCGGGGCGCGCGCAGCTCTCTCCGGAGCCGGCGGTGGACAAACCTCCCTCGAACCTTGGACTTCCCCTCTTTCGTAGGAGGAGGAGGAGGAGAAGGAGGAGGAGGAGGAGGAGGGGGAGGGGGAGGAGGAGGAGGAGGAGGAGGAGGAGGAGGGGGAGGAGGAGTGGACAAACCTCCCCTCTTTCGTAGACCTCCCCTTAGTGCAAACGGCCTGGGACCGAACCCGACGGAGCGGAACCCGCAGAAATGACGGCCGCGACGCCCTCCCGCGAACCGAAGACGGCCCACTCCTTCATCGACGCGTCAGGGCCGGAGGTCTGTCCACCTCCGACGCAGATCGTGCTGGTGCGGTGTCTGCTTCCTCTGCGAGGAGCGCCGCCCTGATCCCGGGCCAGGACGGCGCGTGCCCCGCACCGATCCCCGGGCCCGGCGTGCGGGACCGAGGGCGAGTGGAGACGGCGGCAGCTGCAGTCCGCCGAGCTGCGCACAGCCGCAGTGACAAAAAAGAGCCCCTCGCCGAAGGCCAACTGCCGGTGTCCACATTCTACGAGAACGGCGCCCCTGCACCGTGCCATGTCTGGACTCCCTTCAGGGCCCGCTCCAACGCGGTGGGGTGCATAATTGTTGTCGACCCTCGGGGCCGCAAAAATATACACCGAACTATTCCTGGATCGAAGATTGACGACGCCCCGAAATGCGACAACGCGGTACGGTGCACACGCATCGTCTGCGGATACCGCCCTCAAACCGCCCTCCTCGTAAGGATGGGCACGGCCAAGGTTGGCGCGTCGGGGGATCCCACAAACCGTATGGTGGCAGACGGCGCCATGACCTCGGAATCCCCACCCACCGACCGCACCGCGCGGCTCACATCGCCGCACGCTCTTGGGGCGTCGGAGGCCCCGATCGCCCGGCCCGACACGTCCTCGGAGAACGAACCGAGCCCCGAGACCATGCGGTGACCCCGAGCCCCCGCTTGGGGAAACCAAAAGGTACCGATACCGCTCCCCCCCGGACCTCTCTGGGGATGCGTTCTGACCAGGATTTCGAGGCGAATCCGACGGTGGCGACGAGGGCCTCCAAGGAGGCCCAAGAAGGGGAAAACGGGCGAGGAGGTAGAGGTATGGCTACCCTTTCCTTCTCTGACCACTGACTCACCACGCAGTGTGGTCACCACACCGCCTGGGGGCCCCCGAAAAAGCGCGCGCCGCCCACCGCCTCGCGACCGCCGGAGAAGCCGCTTGGCGCTGTCGTAGGAGGCCAGCTGCACGCCGCTGAACAGAGAGCTGCATGCCGCGTGCGGGCCCACGCCACGCCACAGCCCGGCGGGGCTCCCCGCCTCCCGCGCGACCGCGACGAACGCCGCAGCGGTGCTCGGGTAAGGGCTGCCGCTGACCATCCGGACGCGCACCATCTCGAAGGGGCTGAAGACCGTGACGCCGATGACGCCGCTGGTGGCGCCCGCGCAGGCCCTGGCCAGGAGCCCGTCGCCGGGCATGCGGTCACGTATCGCGGGGTACAGGCCCACGCGGCAGCCGGAGCTGCAGAGGCCCTTGAGGCACATGGGCAGCAGGCCCGGCAGCACCAGGCCGCGCAGCAGCCCCGCCGCCCCCAGCGAGCGCCTCGCGATCTGCGCCGGGCTGGCCCCGGGCTCCAGCTGCGAGCGCGCCATCACCACCGCGAGGGGGTTGAACAGGCCGTCCACGCACACGGCCCCGAGCCCAGCGGCCAGAACCTCTCGGGGCACGCGGCCCATGGACGGCGCCATCGCGGGCTGGCATGCCCCGCGCGAGCCCGCCCACCCCAGGGCGCGCGCGCGCGGTGGCGGCTGGCTCGCGGCAGGCCCTGGGGCCAAAGCGGCTGCGGAGGAAGAGGGGATGAGGCGGGGAGAGGCGGTGCCAGCACACCGAGGCGCATGCGGGTTGGCCCCCCGAGCCCACCAGCCCTCTGCAAGCAGGTGGCTCAGGGCACGTGCTGGTTCCTCCACCCGCCCCCTGGGCCCTTCCCCCTCGGGGAAGGGTCTGCCTCTCCTCTCCCTGAGCCTGGGCGGCCCAAGAGGCGAGTCGTGAGCCCTCCACTTTCCCCTTGACCGCCCCCTCCCCCACTCCCCCTCCCCCCCACTCCCCTCGTCCTACCCCCCCCAAACTCACCCACCCACCCACCCACCCCCCCACCCAGCCCCACCCTCCCACCTCACCCGTCCATCCCGCCTCCAACCCACCCCTCTCCAGAGATCCGAGAGGACCTAGGACGGCTGGCAGAGATCTCTAAGTTCACTTTGGTTGCACCCCTGTCTCGCTGCATGCTTATCCCACCAGTCCTCAACCCGCTGAAAGTGGATGGTTTAGGGACGCAGTTGTTCCACCCCCGTCTCCCACCTGGGGGGAGGGTTTTTTTCCCAACTGCTCCGAAATAAGAATAAGCCCCTCCCAAGCCCGACTGGCGGCCAACCAAGAACAGTTCCACCTGCCCATGATCCATTCGAAAATGCAGCGTGCACATTGCATCAAATATACAGAAATGTCCGGGCGCCCCGCGGACACTTGACATTGTTCGGTGACAGAGACGGCGAATGGGATCAGATTGCCCGCTGCGCGCAGGCCCAACATCCCTGACAACCACTCTGGCGGTGGGACCACACATGACAATATCATCAGTCAGCATGGGAATCATCGTCGTCGTCTGTGCGCTTGTAGTTGAGGTAGCTGTGGTTGTGGTTGTGGAGGCCCGTCTCCAATTTCCTGCCACCTGCCTCCCCTTCTTCTCCCTCCCTCCCTCCCTCCCTCCCTCCCTCCCTCCTCCGTCTCTCTATTATTATCCTGCCTCCTCCTCCTCCTCCTCCTCCTTCTCCTCCTCCTCTTCCTCCTCCTGCATCCATTCATCATGCCTCCTCCTTTTCCACCTGCCACATGTTCCTCTTCCCCCTCCTCTTCCTCCTCCTCCTCGTCCTGTTTCTCCTCCTCCTCCTCTTCCTCCTCCTCCTCATCCACCGAGTCCTGCTCCTCCTCCTCGTCCTTCTCCTCCTCCTCCCCCTCATCCTCTTCCTCCTTCTCTCATCCCTCCCTCGTCATCATGTTTCCTCCCTGCCTTCTCCTCCTCCTCCTCCTCCTCCTCCTCCTCCTCCTCCTGCCACTCCCTCCTGCCACTTCCTCTTCCTCTTGCCTCCTCCGACCTCCTCCTCCTCCTCCTCCTCTTGCCTCCTCCTCCTCGTCCACCTCCTCCTCCTGACTAAGCCTGCCTCATGCACATCTCTTGCCTCCTCCTCCTCCTCTCGCCTTCTCCTCCTTCGCCTCTTCCTGCCTCATTCTCGTGTATCCGCCTCCTGCCCCCCTCCTCCTCCTCATCCTACTCCTCCTTCTCCTCCTCCTGCTCCTCGTTCCTCCCTCCGCCTGCCGCTTTCTTCTTCTCCTGGTCCTCCTTCTCCTCCTCCTCCTCCTCTCCTCCTCCTCCTCCTCCTCCTCCTCCTCCTCCTCCTCATGCTGCCTCCCCCATGCTTCCTCGTCATCCTGCCTCTTCCTGCCGTTCCTGCCTCCTCCTTCTCCTCCACCCCTCCCTTCTGAATAACTCCTCCGTGTCGCACTCCCAGACGTGTCGACAGGGCGGGCCGGGAGCTTCGCCTGAGAATTCCTCGCCATGTATTACCCTGAAGCTTGAAGTGTGCAGAGTCACGGATGGAGGGCGGGGCATTTTCAAAATGCTGCTCTCGCCTTCACGTCGTATTCATTCGTGCTAAGACTTTGCAAAAGACTCACGAATAAAAGGCCGGTCGGTTTCAAAATGCGGCTCTCGCCTCAATGCCGCGCACATTCGTCTGGAAAGCGTGCAACAGTTTTACGGATGGACGGCGAGTCGTTTCCAAAATGCTGCTCCCGCCTTAGCACCGCTTGAAAGTTTGAAAGGGGTTCTGGAATAGAGGGCGGGTGGCTTTGAAAAGTTGGCTCTCGCCCTCGCGCCACGCACATTCGTCTTAGAATTTGCAACAGCTTTTCAGGATGGAGTGCAACTCCTTGCAAAATGTGACAATAGCCTTAGCGCCGCGCACGCTGGTCTCAAAAAATTGCATCGGCTTGAAAGACGGAAGGCGGCTCCTTGTTCAAAATGTGGTTCTCACGTTGGCGTCACGCACATTCACCATGTTAAGATGCAACAGTTTCAAGGATTCGTACGGTCCACGTCCCAGGAATTGCGTTCTGATGCGATTTCAGATTGCTGGGAACAGATTTTCTTGCGCGATTTAGGACTGCCAGGACGCAACTGTCCCGTTGACTTGCTGCGTTCATGTCCCAGGAACAGCGTTGTGGTACGATTCAGGATTCTCAAACGGTTGCCTTCTAATAGACCACTTCCCGCAGTGGAAGTAGTTAGAGACATAAAAAGAAAGAACTTGAAGAGAGAGCGTATTGCAACATCGTTGATGCGCGTTGGGTGTACAATTGTATTCCTCCTCCCCGGTTTCCTCCTCATCCTCCTCAGCATCATGACCACAATCACAATCATCATCACCGCCATTATCAACGCAACCACCATCATCATCATCATCATCATCATCATCATCATCATCATCATCATCATCATCATCATCATCAACATAATCATCATCATCGTCGTCGTCGTCGATATCATCATCAGCATCATCATCATCATCATCAGCATGAGCATACGCATCAGCATTATTATCATCAACATCCTCATCGGCAGCAGTAGCATCATCACCAGCAGCATCCTCATCATAAGCAACAGCATCCTCATCCTCATCCTCATAACCATCAGTGTCAAAGGCAGCCTCATCATCATCAGCAGAGCAACAACCTCATCATCAAGATCATCATCAACAGCATCATAATCATCATCACCATCACCGTCACCATCACCGTTCTGATCATCATCCTCATCCTCATCATCCCCATCACCACCATTAGCAGAATCAGCATCATCATCACCACCACCATCATCATCATCATCATCGACATCATCATCCTCATCATCGTCATCATCATCGCCATCGTCATAGCATCAGCACCAGCATCACCATTACCATTCAATTACAATCACCATCATCATCCGCATCAGCATCGTCGTTGTCGTCATCCGCGTCGCCACCATCATCCTCAGAAGCATCCTCCTCCTCATCGTCCTCCTCATTATCTCATCATCCTCGTTATCAGTATCATCCTCATCCCCATCCTAATCCTCACCCTCATCCTCACCCTTACCCTCACCCTCATCATCATCATCAGCATCATCATCATGATCATCATCATCAGCATCATCATCATCATCATCAGCATCGCCATCATCGCCATCATCATCCTCATCCTCATCATCATCATCAGCATCATCAGCTGTCTCATCATCATCAGTACCAGCATTACCACTAGCTCCTTCTCCTCCACGTCATCCTCCTTCTCCTCCACCTAGCTCCCTGCTCATACCGTCTCCTCCTCCTCCTTCTCGTTCTTCTCCTCCCACTACCTCCTCCTCCTCCCTCACGTTCGCTTCCTGCAAGATCCACCCTCCTCTTCCTGGTGTTCATCCTGCCCCCCTCCTCCTGTCTCCTCCTCCTCCCTGCCGCCTCCTCATGATACAAAACCATCATCATCCTGCCGCCTTCCCGTGTCTCCTCATCGTGCTCCCTCATGCCTCCTCCTCCTCCGCCGTCTCCTCCCCCCCCTCCGCCTCCTCCTCCTCCTCCCCATAATGTTCAGGAGGGGGCTTAGGGGGTGAAAATGCAACTCAAGCAACATCGTTGATGTTGCCTGTCTTTATTCTGGCCCTCCATCTCCCCCTCCTCTCCCAATTTCGCCCCCCCCCCCCCCCTCCTCTTCCTCTTCCTCCTCCGCCTCCTCCGCCTCCGCCTCCTCCTCCTCTTCCTCATCCGCCTCCTCTTCATCATCCGCCTCCTCTTCCTCTTCCTTCTCCTCCTCCTCCTGCTTCGCCTCCTCCTCCTCCACCTCCTCATACCCCCGCCGACCCCATCCTCATGATCGCCACCTCTTGCTCCCTCGTTCCCCATGCATCCACCATGCGCCCACGTCTCCCCATCCTCCTTCTTCTCCTCCTTTTCCTCCTCCTCCTCCTCCTCCTCCTCCTCCTCCCCCTCCTCCTCCTCCCCCTTCTCCCCTACCCTTCCCCCTTCTTATGTTCCCAACCATCCTGTGGTGTTGGGTCATCGTGTGGACGAGACGGCGCCACGCGTCTCTTTCCCTCCCGCTGCCCTCCCCCTCACCCCTCCTCCCGCATGTCTCAGTTTCTACACACCCTTCACACGCTTCGTGGCCACACAGAGAGTTCCACCGAATGCCTCAGTGGCGTCGTTTGCATGCGCCCGCAACGCACACTTGGCCACACTCCTCACACGCTTCGTGGCCCATTGGGGAGCTCCACCGAGGGTCCCAGTGGCGACTTTCGCATGCGTCTGCGCCGCACATGTCGGCACACCCCTCACGCGCTACATGGCCCCACGGGGAACTCCACCGAAGGCTCTAGCGGAATCGTTCGCAGGCGTCCACGCCTCAAAATCCGGCACATCCCTCACACGTTTCGTGGCCCCACACGGACCTCCACGAAGGCCCCAGAGGCGACGTTCGCATGCGTCCGCGCTGCAAATGAAGGCACAACCCTCACACGCTTCGTGGCCCCGCAGGTAACTCCATCGAAGGCCCTGGTGGCGACGATCGCATGCGTCCGCGCCGCACAGTTCGGCACACTCCTCACGCGCTTCGTGGCCCAGTAGGGAGCTTCACCGAAAACCCCAACGACTGCGTTCGC